CAGCCAAGTATCTTACCCACTATACACTAGAGCTCCTTACTGGGGGTGGGGAGAGGGTAAAAAGATAGAGTATCTGGGTTCTCGGGAGGGAGGAGCATCACAGGGACAAGCCTGGACACAGATATTTACATTCCAAAATAACAGAAGGAGAGAAGCAGTGCTTTCAATCTGACTGACCCCACCAGCCCTTGCTTGTGTCTTCTCTCTGCCTTGAACCCTCAAAGCCCCTTGTTCAGAGCACTATTAAGCAGTTTGGGGAAATGGTGCCAAATGGGGTGGAAGTGAGATGGGGGCAGAGACAGATGAGTGCTCTGAGTTTAAAGTAAATGAAGATCTAGAGAAATGAAGGGAGCAAAACGTGGGGTCAGAGAAGAGAAAGCTGTCTAGATGGACTTTTGAGGTTGTCAAGCAGAGGAGATACATGTGTGGCTGCTCAAAACCAGTGTTCTCCAGATCTTTGGAAGACAGGCGAGATTGGAAACCTTGGTCTGCAGTCAGTAGGAAGAGGGTAGACTAGAAAGATTCTCCTAAACATTTGACGGAGGCAGTGGTGAGCTGGTGAGCAGAGCTCTCTGGCTGAGCCAAGGGATGGGAGACTACACAGCCCAGAACTATGTGCTACATTGCAGTCGTGTCACATCCATGCACTAATTTGTTGTTGTTATTAGATGCCATCCAGTTGATTCTGACTCACAGTGATCCATGTGACAGAGTAGAACTGCCCCATAGTGTTTCCTAGGCTATAATCTTACAGAGCAGATTGCCAGATCTTTCCTTTCGCAGAGCTGCTAGGTGGGCTTGTTGTAGGGAAACAAAGTCCTTGCCCTCTGTCGTGAAGAGCCAATAATCACAACAGGTTGAAGAGGGAAAGCAAAAGGTTTATTGAGTATCGAGACCCAAGGAGACAGTGAGAACCGTTTCTCCAAAATGTCTGTCTCTCCGAGCTGGGGAATGGTTAAGGCTTTTAAAAGGGAAGTGGGCTGAGAAGGGGATAGGTCTTAGAAATGCTCATAGTGATTTCTTTTCATTACAGGATGAGTTGTATTTGTCTTGTAGTTTCTTGGCCTTTCTTGGTCAGTGATAAAGAAACTGTCCTTGGTCTTTCAGGCATCTCGCACCTGTCTAGAGGGATTTATTCTGCAAGCGGAGAGTGTGTGGAAGCGGGCATCTTCAGGCCTCTCCATCTGCGGGAATGTCTCCACTTCCTCCTTATCTTGGTTGCCCCAGAGCCCAGTGTCTCCTTTCCCAGGGTAAATAAATGCTGGCTACACTGTTTTATCAGAAGAGAATAAGGGAAGGGAAAAACAATGAGTTAGTCACTAAGATTAATGTCTACTTTAATCCTGCCTGTTAGTTTGTAAAGATTTTACAGGTTTCAGTGAGGTGATCCTTCAGCCTTCTATTTCAGCCTTTCTCAGGTTTGAATGCCAATCTTTTGGTTAGCAGCTGAGTGCTTAACCATTGTGCCACTAGGGCTGCTAGGAGTCAGAATCAACTCAATGGTAATGGGTTTTTAATTAAGAGACACAAAAAAGAGACAGGAAACACAGAGATGGAAAAAATACAACACACACATATACATTCCTATATACATGTATGCTAGGAGCGTTGGTGGAATAGTGCCTAAGGCAGTTGACAGCTAACCAGAAGGCTGGCAATTCAAACCCACCAGCCACTCCTCAGAAGGAAGATTGGGCAATCTACTTCTGTAGTGATACCGCCTCGGAAACCCAAGGAGGGGTTGCTGTGAGTCAGATCGGACTTGATGGCAGTGAGTTTGGCTTGTTTTGGTATACGTGTATGCATGTGACTGAGACCAAATGACTAATGACACCTTTACACACATACGAGCCCCCACCTCTGTCCCCTCTAAAGATGCGGGCTGTTTGACTGAGGTAATGGTTAAGAACTATTGAACTGAAGAGGGAAGAACTCACAGACCATCAAAGAAGAAGATTATGGTACAGACAAGGAGGGAGGCGAATCAAAAGACCAGAGATTCCACAGGGGCAAGGTTTTCTTTATATTTATTTGTTTGAAGTCAGAGAAGAGAGATTTGGAAGCAGCTGCCACAATGCATGGAACTTTGAGGACAAAAAAGTGAGTAATGAAGTGTCTGGGGAGTTTTGCTGAGTGTAGCAAAACCTCCAGGAAAGATCTGCCCTACCCTTCATGGCTTTTGGGGTGGGTTTGCATTTCTTTGGATGAGTCATGATGCTCAGGAGGGCCTCAGGTGAGAGCAGCGGCTCAGTTATATTCAGGTCATAGCCTACATATCCATGTCAAGAGCTTTGCTTGTAAATGTCCTAACTTGTCATCTAGAGACCTGATCTAGAACTAAAGAGTCCCCTTTAAAAGTCCTGTAGGCAGGAACCTAAGATGAGAGCAGGACCAGAGTGACCTGTGGTGAGACATCTGAGTTCCCATTGCAGACATACATCCCAGAGTTTTCCAAGAATTCCATGATGTCCAAGGTCCCTGGGTGGTACAGACAGTTAACATGATCAGTTGCTAACTGAAAGTTTGGGGGTTCAAGTCCATCCAGAAGTGCCTTGGAGAATGGCCTGGAGATCTACTTCCAAAAAGCAACCATTAAAATATCTACGGAGAATAGCTCTACTCTGACACACATGGGGTCACCATGAGTCAACTTGTTGGCAACTAGTTCTGGTCCTGCCTCTGTGTATGTGTATGTCATATATAATGTCCCATGAGGAGTAGAGGCATGAACACTAAACAACAGACAACCGTTGGTGTCTTTCCATCTCTGCCCACACAGACATATCCTCTAGCAGTACCATAGATATGTGTATGTAGGTGAGACAAATGGAGTGAGGTCGGTGACTCAGACTGAAAAGCAGAAAGATGGAGGGCAACTTTTCAGCCACTCGGCTCTCTGTGGGAATCTGTGGACACACAGGTTTTTTATCCCCTTATCACATCCACAAGACCTCATCATGCATCCTAGGTTCTTCCTGATGACCATGACAATAATAAAACAGAGGTGTCTTCCCTCATTATCATCACACACACACACACACACATAAATACATACACACATACACACATATAGCCTTCCCACTGCCACTCTGTACCCCCTCCCAAAGTGCCTTCTCCCCTTCTTAGCCATCATGCCAGCCTTCAGTTGCCACTTCTTTCTCGGCTTAGGCTCCTCCACACCCACACTGGCACTTGCCTGGCAGCTCCCTGCCCACCTCTTTAGCCCTGCAGGAGGAGGACCTGGGGCCTGGGGCAGGGCACACGTGGAACAGGTTGATGCTGTTCTCCCGGAAGTGGAGCAGGAGGGGGGTGGGGTCGCTGGGGCAGACAGGTCCCTGGAAGCCACATCCCTGCCTTCATTGAGGCATAAAGCAGCCTGTCCTGACGAGAGACAGCCACTCTCAACCTACAGACGGAGTGAGCCCTAGGTCCTCTCACCTGACTGGGCCTGTGCATCCTTGACCCAGCTTGCCGGACAAGACCCAGCACCATTCCCTGGTAAGAACTTGATGATAGCAGAGGAGGCAGGAGGCATCCCAGGAATGTAGTAGAGATGGGTGGGAGAAGAAGGGCCCAGGCCAGGAGTCCAGTGGGGTAGATATCTTGGTAGACCTTGGGGAATGGAATGGAGAGGTGGCCCTGTAAGCACCTCTCTGGTGAGGAGGAGACTACAGTCACCCATGCCCTTCCCAGATGCCCCTGGCTGACCCAGGAGGCTGCCTATCCCACCCTGGCCCTCTCAGGAGTGAGAGGTGAAAAACAGCTCATTGGAGCTCACATAGTTGGCAGAATTGCCCAGGTGACTGTGCACATGCCTCCTGCTTTCCTGCCTTTGTGAGGTACCACAGGGGAGGTGAGGCAGTTCCCGGACAGCTGGTGTGTTCTCTTCCACCCATGGGGACAATCCAGCTGTGCTGGCTGGCCACCTGGCCAAAGCATCTGGACTGGAACCTCAAAGACGGAGACCCAAGATGATGAACCTTGGCTCCTGCAGGTCCAGCATCCTCCAGGGTGATCTCATCCCAGCATATGTCTTCCAGGGCCACATTCATTCATTCATTTGTTCATTTGTTCATTCTTTCCACACACATTAGCCAAGCTCCAATTCTGGGCCAGGCACTGTGCTTGATGTTGATGCTACAGAGATGACTAAGACCATTTCCTACATTCTAGGAGGTCACAGTCGAGTAGGTGAGAGAGTAAGGTGAACAGATCATAACATCAAGTTGTAGGTGTTTCAGAAGGGGATATACAAAGTGCTTTGGGAACCCAGGGCAGAGTCACTGACCACCTGAAGAAGTGAGGAAAGGGTACACAGAGGAGACAACCCTGAACTTAGTCTTATTGGATAAACAGGGATTCTTTGACTGGGAAGGGTATTCCAGACGGAGGGAGCCTGGATCCATGTAAGTGTATGGATCCACTGGGCAATCCCTGGAGGGAGGTGAGTCTATTCCTGAGCCAAGAAGAGACCCAAAAGAAGTGCAGGGCACAGGCACTGCTGTGCACACTCAAGGGAAAGGCCACTAGAGCAGGCGAACAGCGTCTGCCCCCCCCCCCCAGTCCTTGGGCACAGTAGAGGCTGCTCCCCTTCCCTGGAGGCCCCAGGTCTGTTCTATGGGGAGGCCAAGGTTGGTCCGGCTGTGTGAAAAGGTATTTTACTGCCATTGCTAATGAAACCCTCCAACTGGGCTCATGTCTGAGGACAACGAGTGTAGAGTCAGAAAAGCCCTTGAGAAAGAAAGAAGGTGTCTGGCCTCTCCAGCAGACTGTGGGACTTCAGACAAACTATATCATCTCTTGACCCCTGGTTGTCTCATCATAAAATGAGAACCCCTTTGGTTCCTTTCAACTCTGACCTTCAAGAATCCAGGCATCTTTAAGAGCTTCCTCCTGTCCCCCTGCCCTAAGCCAGGCAGCCTCTTTCTGCCAGGGGCTTTACCAGGCCCTCGTATTCATGGCAGCACCTTGACACTCTCCCATCTGCCCCTGCAGAGGCAATGACAATGTTTGAAAATGTTACCCGGGCCCTGGCCAGACAGCTAAACCCTCGAGGGGACCTGGTACCCCTTGACAGTCTCATCGACTTCAAGCGCTTCCATCCCTTCTGCCTGGTGCTGAGGAAGAGGAAGAGCACGCTCTTCTGGGGTGCCCGCTATGTCCGCACTGACTACACCCTCCTGGACGTGCTTGAGCCCGGCAGCTCACCTGCAGGTCAGCCTCAGGGTGAGGTTGGGTACTGAGTGGGGGAGGGGGAGGCAGATACCCAGCCCCCCTCTGCCCAGACATAGGTAAGTGTCATTTAACCCAAAGTTCTCATAAGGAGCTGAGGTGGTGGCAATGGGGAGAGGGATGCCCCTTAGCCCAGCCCCTTTCATCTGTTCTCTCCTACAGAGCCAACAGATAGTGGGAACTTTGGCTTTAAGAATATGCTAGATGCCCGAGTGGAGGGAAAGGTGGATATGCCTAAGACGGTGAAAGTGACGGGAACTGCAGGGCTCTCCCGGAGCAGCACCTTGGAGGTTCAGACACTCAGTGTGGCACCCAAGGCCCTGGAGAACTTGGAAGAGGAGAGGTGAGAGTGGGCAGGGCTGGGAGGAGGTTCCAGGATTGGTGGGGGGGTGATGTACAGAAAGGGTGCTGCAGTGTCATCACACTGAGCATCATCCATGTGACCATGGGAGCTCTTGGAAGATGACCCTTCTGGTCATTTCCTAACCACTCTTCTCCATCCTTCCTCCACCTCCAGTACCACCTCCTTACTACCTACCACACATACACACACACAAGGCTGAGTGCATTCACATGCACTGGCTGTGTGACCTTGGAAAAGTTACTTCTCCTCTTAGGACCTGTTTTCTCTCCTGAAAAATGATGGGGTTGGATGATAATCTCTGAGCTTCCTTCCAACTCTAAAGATTCTAGAAAAGAAACTAGAAAAGAACAAGATCTTAGTAACTGTTTTCCACTGTGCCTGGGACACAGAGCCCTTAACCACTGTGCTACCAGGGCTCCTTTAAAACCTGTAAGGGACCATGAATAGCCAGTTCGGCAGGTGCAGAAAATGTATGAGTAGAACAAGTAGAAGATGGGTTTGACTCAGACCAGGGAGAACACATGCACTAGGCCAAGGACATTGAATTATTCTGTAGGCACCAAAGACACACTGACAATGCTCTGGTGTGTGTCATGATTAATCTGGCCAGATGGAGGAAGTGTGTCAGGTAAAGGAAGAGGAACAGGGGTTTGAAGCAGGCAGACCAGAAAAGACACCATCTCACTATCCATCAGGGATATCATGAGGACCTAAGCTAGAGACAAACCATGGGAATGAAGAGGGGAGAATGGATGCAAGTCCTGTGGGGAAACAGAACAGACTGGACTTGGCAGCTGATTACAGGGTGAGGGAAAGGGTTTTGTCAAAGATGACCCTGAGACTACCCAGGTGTTACCATGAACAGAAACAGGAAGTTAGAGGCTAGAAGTGCATTTGGGGAGAAAGACAACTAGTCTCCTTTGGATGTTTTTGGTTTCTGGTGCCACTGAGACATCAACTAGTTGAAAGTAAGGGCCTGGAGCTCAGGCAAGAAGTCAAGGTCAGAAATATAAAGATTAAAACTATAGGAATGGGGGACAGCCAGGGAGTGTTAGAGGGAGTTCAGAGAGCAGAGAAGTAAGAACAGAATCTTAGAGACAAGATTTTAGGGAACCAAAGAAACAAGAAAATAGGATGAAGACAAAATAGATAGGATTTAGAAGGCAGAGGAGGGGTAGAACCAGGGTGATGGAGTATGACTGAAAGCAAAGAGAAGACAGCCACATGGATGCTTTGGACAGCAGGGTCCAATGCCATTACGGAAGAGTTAGAGAAGGTCTTTGAGTTTGGTGGGTAGGAAGTCATTGTGATTTCAGTTGAGTAGTGGAAACAGAAGCCAGATGATAAAGAATTTGGGAGTGGGCAGTAAGGAAGAAAAGACACTGAATGTAGGTGTATCTTTTGAGCAATCTGCCAAAGAAATGCAGGAAAGAAATAGAAAGGTAATTTGAGGGAGTAGCGAGATCAAAGGAAGTCTATTTTCAGGATCAGGGACATGTTTGTATTTGTAAGCCAACAAGAGGAGTTGTGGAGAGCATTAACTAGTGTCAAAAGCAAGAGAGACAATAAGAGATGGAGAGAAAGGATTCTAGAAGAGGGGAAAAAAGTTAACAACCAGGTGGGATGAGAGGAGGAATCTACTCCGGAGCCAAGGGAAAAGGGGAGAAGGAAGTAAACATGAGGCCCTGTTCCGGGCCAGGTGCTGTGCCAACTGATTACACAGTTTATTTCTCAACTCCGGAGGTAGGTGTCATTATTCTCATTTTATAGATGAGGTAACTAAGACTCAGAGAAGCTGCCCTGCTACCAGGTGACAGAGCTGGGCTTCCAACAGCAGTTTTACTCCAGAGTCTCACTCTTTCCCTGACACCATAAACTTCTAGGAATGAAAGAAAACAGCGAATGGCATGGGCTAGTGCAAGGAGATGCTCTGAGCAATTTCCTTATGTTTCTCCTGCCACAGGAAGCTGGCAGAAGACCATCCATTCCTGAAGGAGATGCAAGATAGAGGAGAGAACCTGTATGTGGTGATGGAGGTGGTGGAGACCGTGCAGGAGGTCACTTTGGAGAGAGCTGGCAAGGCAGAGGGATGCTTCTCCCTCCCATTCTTTGCCCCATTGGGACTACAGGTTTGGTTCAAACACACAAACACACCCTCACACACATGCCCTCAGAGGCTAGGTTAACTCTGCCTGACCAGTAGCTATCCAAGATACTGAAAAGGACCCAACCCTTTTCCATGCTTCTCAAAACCCAGGCCCCAACTGGCCAGACACATTCCCCTTCTCTGGTCAATGACCCTAATATGGGCAGATCCCTGTGCCAGATGCCACAGGAATATATCGAGGAAGGGGACTCAAAAGAGTTGTGAATTTTCCTTCATGGTGCTCCCAATCTAAAGGGGAGACCTCCTTGCCCTCAGAAGTTCTTAGTCTCATGGGGGGGACACATGGGTAAAGCCCAGACAATACATGCTTGGAAAATGACATGTAAATAAGTAATACTATGTTGTTGTTAGGTGTGGTAGAGTCTGTTTTCAACTCATAGTGATATAGGGTTTTCTAGGCTATAATCTTTACGGAGAAGAAACTCTAGTGGTGTAATGGTTAAAGCACTGGGCTGCTAACCAAAAGCTCCATGGGAGAAAGATGAGGCAGTCTGCTTCTGTAAAGATTTACAGCCTTGGAAACCCTATGGGGGTTGCTTTGAGTTGGAATTGACTCAATGGCAGTGGGTTTCGTTTTGGTTTGGAATCTTTATGGGAGCAGACTGCCAGGTCTTTCTCTCACAGAGCAGCTGTGTGCATTTAAACCACCAACCTTTCAGTTAACAGCCGAGCACTTAACTATTGAATCACCAGAGTTCCTTAAATAATGCTATACATACCTGTATCTATTTGTGTAAATAGTTAAGGAATGAGCTGGAGCGGAGGCAGGGCTTAGTCATGGAAAGCTTCCTGAAAGAGGAGAGCATGGGACAGATGGCGAAAAGGAAGAAAGAATGAAGACCTGGATAGAAGCTATAAAATAGGACAGGGTGACACACAGGCAGGTGTTGAAGCGGGTCTGCCAGTTCCCATAATGTGACTGAACCAGGAAGAAAGATACAGGTTGCCAGAGGGATTTTCAGTAAGTGCAGGGGCTTTGAAGCCCATTCCAGAGGCTGGCTCATGTGGAAAGATGACCAGGAATATCACTGAAGGGTTCCCAACTTCTAATCTCCCCAAAGGCTCTCAGGCCTCCACTTGCTTGCTCCCCTACCCCACACTTACAGCATCTCATACTTACGATATATTCAGATTCATGAATCCTCATTGTCTAATCCTAGGGATCTGTAAACCACAAGGAGGCTATCACCATCCCGAAGGGCTGCGTCATGGCCTTCCGAGTGAGACAGCTGGTGGTCAAAGGCAAAGATGAATGGGGTGAGCAGTGATCAGTATCTTCTCCCCCAAAGATGAGAATCACCCTCGCAATATCAAGGCAGCTTGGCTCTCACCCATGACAATATCAGGGAATGAGTGAAGGAGTGCATTGTGATTCAGCTGCTAGGGGCAGAACTACAGGGGCTGCTCTGGGGATGGTGGCAATGGGACTCCTGCGTTCTAAGCGTCTCATGTGTACTAGGCAGTGTGTTAGCTGAGGAGGAGGAAATACAAAGATGGATAAGCATTGCCACTACTCTCAAGAATCTATGGCCAATGGAGGAAACAGAGCCACCAGTACAATAATGCAAGGAAGAATGTAATATTATCATAGGAGAATATTTGCAGAGGAAAAAAAGATTACTCCTGGCAATGGAGGGAGAGCAGGGGACTTAGGGGACTTAGGGGAAGGCAGGGTCCTAGCTCATAGTAGAGCCAGTGGGCTTGAGACTAGAGAAGGAAGGTGGGGTAGCTGTTAACAGGCCTCCTACTCTCCCCTCTCCCGCTCCTTACAGATATTCCACACATCTACAATGATAACATGCAGACCTTCCCTTCTGGAGGTAAGTGAAATTACTTACTGTCTCCCCATATTCTTTGTTCTACCCCTGACTTTATCCCACGGCTTTGAACTGGTTAGTTCCAGTTCAACCCCTACCTGAGAATTTGTTAAAATGTAGATTTTGATTCAGTACATCCTGGGTGGAAAAGTAAATTCTCAGCAGGAAGTGTAGCCAGAATGAATCGGTTCAAAGCCCTGCTTTATCTACTGAAGCCTTCTTGCCTCTAATACTATATGCTATTATGCCCCAAAGGACCCCTAGTTTTCTTTTCCAAGTCCCTAAAAATATCTACCTCAACTTTAGAGAAATCAGAGAAAGGCATATAAATACTGCCCAAGACATACAGAGAAACAGAAAAACAAAGACCAGAAGGCACACTCAGAAATAGGAATAAGACTTCAAGACAGTGTGTGTTCCCAAGTTGTGGGGTGGATGAGCTAACATAATGTTCATGTGTGTTTATAATGATCACTGATAGAACTGCCGCACAACTGCTCTTAGATAATAAGGCAGACCTAGGCTTCATGCTGACATATGTACATTGTTTCTGTCTCCAGGAAAACCAGAAGAGAAGTTCATCCGTAAGTATTTTCTTTCATTCACTACAACTTTCTTGACTCAGAATTTAAGAACTCTTTCTCTTCCCTTCTCTGTGGGACCAAGAGGGAACATAATAGAGCATGTCCCTGAAATATAGCAGAAATCCCAATAGTTTAGGAAAAAGCAACGGAAGGACAAGGTCTTTGGATAAGATGCCCAGGTGGTCAGATGCCTAGACTTTTGTCCTCAAGGGCCTTTGTAGCAATAATGTGTTACGTACACACACACCTGCAATTGTGCCACCCAGCAACTGGGACAAGAGCTGCTATGCCACAGGGATGTCAACTTAATCCAGGTGCCTCTTTGCATGTTGCATTACCTTTTCCCCTGATCCATTCCTGTCTCCCAAAAATGGAGCAAGAATATCTTTAAGATGACTGGTTGGAATCTCTCAGGAGACACACAGGGCATATTTCCTAACCCTCATTAGTGTCTCATCCTCTATTTATGGCTAACATTCTGAAGGACTCCATTCTTAATCAGTTCTTTTTTTTTTTTCTTTTTCCATCAGTTATACAAGCATCTGATGTTGGTAAGGAATTTTGTGATTTTTCCCCAAGGCTTTGGCATGAAAGGAGTGGGAGAAGTACTGGGATGGAGGGAGGAGGGGAAGACAAGTGCTGAGTCCTAGGGCCTAGGAAGTGGAGCTACTTCCAGAGAGTCATTCTCTCCAAAGCAGGCTGGACATATTCCTAGGATGCCAACACTCCAGAGGTTCAGGCTGTCTCTGAATCCACCCACACCTCTGAATACAGATCCACTGCCCTTGGAACAGTCCCACTCTGGTCTTCACAGATTCTTCTTTGTTAACTAACTCATGGAGAATGCAAAGATACCTTCCTTATCAACTTTTAGGTGGAGTCTTAGAGAAAAGGGAGTCAATTGTCTACTAAAACAAGATGCCTGGGTTCTCAGGGATCTGCTGGGTTAGATGATAATATGGATCCCAGTTCACCTCCTCACCCCAATCCTTCCTTTGGTAAGGAAAGAGGGAGGGCAGGGTCAAGCCAGGAGCAGAGCCCAGGGACCTGTGGAGGGCTAAGTGAAGGAGGCATTCAGGGAGAATGCTTACTGAGCAGGGAGGGTGCCAAATGGAGGGCTGTTTGTTTGCCACATTTATTATTCCACAGGGGAGGTGCATGAGGATTTCAAGACATTAAAGGAAGAGGTTCAAAGAGAGACCCAAGAAGTAGAGAAGTTGAGCCCAGTAGGGCAACGCTCCCTGCTCAGCTCCCTCAGCAAACTTCTAGGGAAGAAAAAAGAACTCCAAGATCTTGAGCTCACGGTGAGGCCCTTGTGGAAGAATGGGAGATATGGGAGAAGAAAGTGTTTGGTAGAGGTGTTACAAAAAGGCTTGGGGGAGGGATCGCCTGACCTCCCCTAACTTCACCAGGGGGAGAGCGAATCACCATCACCATCATCAGGCCAGGGCTGATTCCTCTGCTGCCATTCTAACCTTCCTACCAATTCTGACACCAACAGTCCTTCCCATGGCACTCTACTTCTCTGCTGGTTTCAATAATTCATTGCACTGGCCACACAGAACTCACGGACAATACTCATGATTATGGGGTTTATTAGGGAAATGACAGGTTACAATTCAGGATCAGAAACAACTCAGGATACAGTTCTTCAATCAGGACAGCCTCCTCAGCAGTGCCACAAGCACACTTCTCTCTGGCCTCAGCCTCTGTCTTGCCTGGGCAAGTGTTTCAAAGCTCTTTTAGCTTTGCCGATAGGTGCCCAGAGAGGCACCCCACTCTGCCAGCAAGCCTGCTGCCCAAAGGCACTCAGCTTTCTCGATCCATGGGCCAGGAAGCCCACCACTCTGTCTCATGTGAGTCTCTAGGTTCTGTTGGTTCTGCTGCCTCTGTTGCTCTGCTACTGCTTCTCACCATCTCTCATTAACTCTGCCTCTGACTCTCTCAGCAAAGTGTTACAGCTCTCTCTGTCTCCTGGATTGAGGAGATTCAGTACAGGAATCTCAAATCCAAAGGACACACTCCACTTATGGCTATTCTTTCTTGATAGAAGTGAGATCCATCTCCTTTCCACCTCTGGGATGGCTTGTTTTAAACTTAGCAAGGTGGTAAAACTGACCAATCCCCACATTAGGGTTCCATACACCTTATTTCCATGGCCCCACCCACACAAGGGTGCTGTGCACCTTATTCACATTATTAACAAACTATCCAATCCCCTTGGTGGACCATAAGCACCTCACATCTGCATAGATGTGACAGACTCTAGGACTATTGCTAGAAGGGCCATATTAAGTAATTTACTGTACTGCAAGGATACATGAATATCACAGCCGTGGGTGGATCTGACGGTGGCAAGAGGTGGCCAGTGGCCCAGGGAATCGATAGTGGATCCCTTCCCCAATGCTGACCAAGTACCCCCCAGGATGCCAGGCCACTTCTGTTCCTCTCTCCCCCTGGAGAAGAGCCAACAGTGCAGATTCCCCCAAAGCACATGCTCTGTCCTGATGGATAGAGGATAGGCAACAGGGGTCACTGTTAGAAAGGTCTAAGACTCAGGGACCAAGAAACCCAGGGTTCCAACAGTTTCAGGACTTGTTACCTTAAAAAGAAATGAATTGGAACCGAGTTAACACCTGTTGAAGGCTTACTACATTCCAGGTATCATATTGGGCCCTTTATGCTATTTTCAAGTCGCCCACCTTTTCCCGCAGCTTGAAGGGGCTATAGACAAGGGATATGAAGTGACCCTGGAGGCACTCCCAAAAGATGTCCTGCTATCAAAGGAGGCTATGGGAGCTGTCCTCTATTTTCTTGGAGCTCTAACAGGTAAGTGAAGAATAATGTCTTCATTTACATTACTGCTTCAGGGATCAAAATATTTGCCAAATGAATGAATGAATAAATGCATACATACCAAGTAAATTACACCACAGTTAAGTTGTTTATATTGACATTTTTTAAACTTGGTATCATTCCTCATCATTCACTTGGCCACTTTGAACAGTCTGAGCAAACAGCCTAATCTTGGTAGAAGAGATTATCAACCACATACCTCACTTCTCTCTGTAGCTAAGATCATTACTCCTGTAGTGATAGCTGTTAGCTTTAATTTCAGAAGGCAGCATCTTCTGATCTTGCTGCTAAATTTTCTCCTTCCTTACATAAAACATTCCTGCATCTAGAAAACTCCCTTGTCTTTCAGGTAAAAGCTGAGATGTTTGTTTTCCTAGGAAGCTGGCCCTCAAATGCCAAGACCAAAGTAGATCCTTTAGCTATGGGTTCCCTTAACACCCTAAATTGTAATTACACATTACTCTGTCTTCCCTACTAGACTGCAAGTTCTTTGAGTGATGGGAGTAATTTTACTTAACACCCAGCAAGGTAGACATTTAACCGTCAATGAATGAATGAAGAATGGATGAATGATGAATTTCTCAGAGCAAACCTATTTGGAATCTATAGTCCCCTATGTATCAGCAACACACTCATCCCTTTCTCTCTCTCTCTCTCTGTGTATATGTATGGGTGTTATTTTTCTTCCCCTCCAGAGCTAAGTGAAGCCCAACAGAAGCTATTGGTAAAATCCATACAGAAAAAGATCCTGCCTGTGCAGCTAAAGCTGGTGAGAGAAATGACAGGTGCCTGGGACAGCTTGGGAGAGAGGCAGCTAAAACCAGTGGAAAGATATAGATTTAGCCTAATGACAGTATGGTCTTAAAGGGCCCTGTCCTATTCCAGCAGCTCATGCCCACTTCTCATTTGTTTGCTTTTTTTTTTTGTTATTTTTACAAGAGGTAGAAAAGTGAATTTCTGGGCAATGATCTTGGTTTTTCAGCCTGATCTTGGGAGAACAGACAGAAACATCTGACTGGACTTTGCTTATTCCTAGCCAATTGATATTGAGTAAAGCTTTTTAAATTTGAGTCTGTCTCAATGTACTCTTCTGTAAAATGGGACTGAAAATAAATGTGCTACCTACTATAGTGCAGGGTTGTTAAAAGGTCCAGATGGAGGAATGGCTGTAAAACATTTGCTAATGTAAAGAGTTATAATAATAATAAGGGGAGAATGTATTTCTCTTAGGAGCTCTGGTAGCCTAGTACCTTAGGCATTTGACTGCTAACCAGAAAGCTGGCAGTTCAAACCCACCAGCCACTCCTTAGAAGGAAGATTGGGCAATCTACTTCTGTAGTGATACTGCCTTGGAAACCCAAGGAGGGGTCTCTATGAGTTGGGACCGACTCAAAGGCAGTGAATTTGGTTTTTGGTTTTTTGTATTCCCCTTGGTGGTTTTTAGGAGTTGGGAGAAAGGAAGAGAGGTTCTCAGTTCTTTCTTTTCATGCTAGTCTGGTTCCTTCCAGGTGGAGAGCACAATGGAACAGAATTTCCTGCAGGATAAAGAGGGTGTCTTCCCCCTGCAACCCAACCTGCTCTCCTCCCTTGGGGAAGAGGAACTGACCTTCACCGAGGCCCTAGTAGGGCTGAGTGGCCTGGAAGTGCAGAGATCAGGCCCTCAGTACACCTGGGATCCAGATACCCTCCCACGTCTCTGTGCCCTTTATGCTAGCCTCTCCCTCCTGCAGCTGCTGACCAAAGCCACTTAACTTGACTTTACCTCCTGCTTCCCGAATGTCTTCCTTACTTCAATGTACTATACATCCTTAAACACCCAAGGGTGTTTCAGATCCACCAGGCTGAGAATGATGGAAATGCTAGTTGACCACCTAAGATAACCAATTTCCACCTGCCCAAACATGTATAGTCCCAGCTCTTCAAATCCTCCAACCATCTGCTGATGCTTAAATCCTCTCAAAGTACTAATTCTGTAACTTTTAAAGACTATGAATGACTTCAGCAAGAACAACCAAAAGATAAATCAATTTCTTTCCCCAACCTTTCCCACTTGCACTCAAAACACAAATTTTACCAGAATTAATGGAAAATACTATCTCACTTTGAATGCTTTTGGTGTTTTCCTTTAAAAATGTATCATAAGAGAAAAAATAAACATTATCATACTATGCAAAGATCATATGTATATGAATACTAGCCTCAGGCCACCTGGAAAATGCTAGAATTATTAGGGTGTAGTATGTAGACTCTAAATTCTAAAGTGAGAAGATCATCAAAGAACTTGCCTTCAAAGAGGAGCCTCTACTGGGACCATAGTCAAAGGGGACATCAAGCTCAACTGGCACAACATACTACACAAAACATTGTTCCACTTCCTACTTTGGTGAGTAGCAACAGGGATCTTAAAAGCTTGCAAGCAGCCATCTAGATACAATGATGGGTCTCTCCTTTTCCAGAGCAAAAAAAAAAAAAAATGAAGAAAACCAAAGATTCATGGAAACAATTAGTCCTAGCGACTGGTACATCATGTGATCCGCACCCTATACGACTACGAGACCACAAGAACTAGATGGTGCCAGGCTACCACTGTCAACCACTCAGAGGGGAATCTATGTAGGAGATCCTGAATAGAGAGGGAAAACAATGTGGAACAAAACTCAAAGTCATTTGGGAAAAAAAAAGGGGGGGGGCCAGTTTTGCTGGTTTGATAGAGCCTGGTGGAACCACTGAGACTATGGCCCCTAGCTGCCCTTCAGGTCTGGAATTGAACCCACACCTATGGCTTCCAGCCAAGCAAGACAAGCATAGGAGCTGAACATTTACCTGAGGTAGATACACTCCTTGGAGAAAACAATCATGGGAGAAAGAAGGACTGTTTATGCACAGGGAGACAGCTCAGGGGGCAGGGGTGCATGGAAGGATGGACACAGGGAAGAGGTGACTGTCAGGAGGAAGTGGGAGGGGAGCTGTGTTGTTTGGGGTGAATTGTGGTCAGTGTCATAAGACAAAGTATATGTGAAATGCTATATGGAAAGTGAATTTGTTCTGTAAATTTTCACCCAAATCACAATTTAAAAATAAAAAAGAGGAGCCTCTGGTATCCTCTGGACCTGAGTTGAGGTTTTAGGAAAGGGGGAAAAAAAAAAACCAAGAAATAAATGGTACAAATCCAAAACAAGAATAAGATAACTTTCAAGATTGTTTTACAATGAATACAAAATGCAGATGGGTCTTAAAAAATAAAAAATGGAGCCAAGAATAAGGCTTTAAACTCTAAAAATAATAACATTATCTTATTAGTTTACCTTTCTGTCATATGCCCTGGATTCAGGGTGGTTGTAGGAGTAAAGGCTATGAGTAGCCTTGGCATATGGACCTGCTAATGTGTGTGTGTACTGCATGTCACATAAAACTGCTAGATCCATATCACCCTCTTCTGTTTAAAGCTGGGATTTAACATCTTTCACCAATCTATTTTAAAGTAGATACACTGGAATAATTTCTTCAAGGCTTTTGACTCCCCTGGAGTCAAGCCTCTCCCCTCTACTTGCCCACCTCCTGCGCAGGCTAGTTCTCTCACTCACCAAGAATCCATGATCAGCTGCCAATTGCTTTGGGTTAAGCCATCCTCCCCCATTCTGGGGCATCTTCCAAGGCCTCACTATATTGCTCATGGACCTACGGGGTTGTTTGTTATCTGCTGACTTGATTGCTTTTTCCTTGTGATGTAAACTTAATAGAGAGGTGAACTGACAGCCTAACAATCCAGAAGGGTAACTTTTTTTATTATAATGATGAACAACAAAGCTCCTCTCTTTTCTTCCTTTACCACTTATTAAGATATGGGGTTATGAAGAAGCAGCTTTCATGAGTTTATTCCAGGGATGATTCAAAGATCCTGTCAGCCATCTCCCAGGCTTTCGGGAGACAGACAGCTAGGGGCAATTGGGCAAAGCTTGTTCCTTAAAAGTGGAGCACACATTTTTCCATTTAGCAAGCAGCCCTTTAGTGCTAGAAGCTATTTACAGCAATAGAATGAAAAAGGAGGATACAAAGGTTCAATCATATCCTCTACCCTCCAGTATCTTACAACAGGGTTTGATTGTCTTGTATTGTCTGCCCCCAGTCTAAATATTTATGGAGGAAAGATAAGTTCCAAGATAAGGGTAATTTTTTGTTTTGTATCTTAATAGACACCTTTAGCTTCTTCCAGATGTCACCTGCCCTGAAGAGTAACCGAAGGATTCCTTTGAAAAATAAGTGAAAAGGGTTTTGATCCAATTTCATTCCCCTAAAGGATCCTCGGGAGCTCTGGTAGCATAGTGCCTAAGGCACTTGACTGCTAACCAGAAAGCTGACGGTTCAAACCCACCAGCCACTCCTCGGAAGGAAGATGGGGCAATCTACTACGGCAATCTACTTCCATAGTGATACTGCCTTGGGTCGCTATGAGTCGGGTCCCACTCCACGGCACATAACAACAAAGGATCCTCAGGCTCTCCTTAGGTACACCATTACTGTTTCTTAATTCCCCATGGCTGTCTGTCTCAAGCCATAAAGGTCCCACAACCGCCTCCCTGAAGCCTAGTCAATAGGGGAGTCCACTCTTGTCCCTCAGGGTTCAGTATACACCACAGGCCAGAGCTGAGCTTCCAGCTCACTCACTATCTAGACTTCCTCATAGACTAAATTCTTGAAGCTGAATTCTTCATCCCCACGTGGCTAGCCCCTTACCGTACAGAGTGGATCCCTATCTTTTATTACACTGGAGTGATTCTACACAAATGCACCCTCCTCCTTATCCGCACTACCTAGCGACTGAGATTTTATGCCTCATTTTCAACAACTAAACTAAAAAAAGGACACCCGGATCCCAGAGGGATCTCCTGTTCGGTTTTATTCTAAACCCAACTGCCTGGCTCTCCTTCACAGCCTTCTTTTCCTCCCTCGCGCCGGATGCACCCGGTGGCCGTTGAGAACAAACCTCGCGGACCGGGAAGGCGTCCCTGGCCAAGAGCAAGTGCTAGTTTTGTGGAGAAATCAGCCCGGCAACTCTGACGTCATTACGTAATGCGTTCTGATAAGCCATATCCTCTCCAAGCAAGTTGCAGTGCTCTTAGAAACCTGGTGACGTAGCTTTAGGGGACCTCTGGTGGACTTCCTCATAAATGCACTCGGGAGGAAAATGAAAAAAATTTGAGTACGCCAAAGAAAGTCCCACAACCCATTACAGGCTCCTCCCCTCTCTTTCCTCGAAGATCCGCCTCCATCCTGCAACTCGGTTCTTGATTTATTTCCCCTTTGTTGATTCAGTCATCGGCTCACCAGACCTGGAACTTCCCAGAAGGCCCAGCGCCGGGAAGAGGGTTGCAGCTGCTCCGTCATCGTGCGGCCGGACGCTAGCCCGCGCTCGTGTGCAGGCCCGGCCCGGTTCCTAGTCCCCGGTGCCCCGGTGCGTGGGTTCAAGAGAGGTCCCTGCCTCGGTCGCCGGACTAGGCCACGACCCCGGGCGCCATGAAACAGGAGGGCTCTGCGCGGCGCCGCGGAACGGACAAGACGAAGCAGCCGCCCGGCGGAGGGGAACAAGAACCACCACTGCCGCCGGCCCCCCAGGATGTGGAGATGAAAGAGGAGGCAGCAGCTGGTGGCGGGCCAGCGGCGGAGACCGACAGCAAAGCAGCAGCAGAGCACTCCCAGCGAGAGTTGGACACAGTCACCTTGGAAGGTACGGAAGCCCCAACTGGGGACTTGCCATGATCACGGGCGACAACGCCCCCGGAATCCAGCCTCTGCCCAGGACCCTAGCGCAGCCTCCACCACCCCCGGTTCCTTAGGATCACCCCCCAGGTGTCCGATCCCCCTGCTTTGATACTCCCGACCCCAGCCAGCCCCAATGACATAGCTTTCTCTCCAGGCTCGAGACTCCTCCCCTAACACTCCCTTTGAAGTTGCATCTGCAACTAGATTTCACTGAACCTGGGGACCCCCTCTTCCATGTCCTCCACTCACATCCCACGGACTGGCTCCTCTAGAAACCAGTGTTTGTATGTATGTGTATGAAAAGGGGGCCAGGGTGACACCGGAGTTTCATCTGGGTTTTAAGCGTGTACAAAACGTTGTTGTTGTCTTAATTCCCTTTAACGACTCCCTAGAAGAACCATTTCTACCTGGCACACCACTACTTTTCTCTAAAATGCTCAGTCTCTTCAAGCCCTTACTTCCACTCTGTTTCTCACGGATTTTAATACACACACTTTCAACTTTGCAGGTGTCATCTTTGAGTTCCTGATACCTTTGGCCAACTCCCCACCCCCCATTCCTTTTCTTCTAGGTACCTTTTCTAATTTCCTACCTACCTCGTTTTCCTCTTGTTCATGTTTATTTTTCCCACATAGACCATCCTGTCCACATTTAGAGTGAGTTGAGGGAGACCTTCTTACTGTGACCCTGGTTCTAGATCATGCACAACCAGACTATTTATCAGGTTTTCTCTCTGCTTAACTGAATGAAAACGAACTCTAAAATACTGAAATAAGCAAAGTTAGGCACCTGGGTGATGCTCTTGAGGATATGAGTGTTGACTGCATCAGCTTCTACTCGTAAGCAGGATCAGTATCTAATGAAGACTCTTTTACTAAAATGATAGCAAGTGGCAGAGGTGTCATTCAGTGTCACCTACTGGGTATATTTGTGTAAGTATATATACACATATAATGTGTGTTGTGTATCTCTGTGTATGTGTTTCTTACGT